CACACAAACGGCACATCACAGGAAGGAAAAAACAAAACAGCTACAAAGTGTGTAGAGTTAGAAGATGTAGAAAGGTTGTAGGAGGGACAGAAATGAATGGAGGGGGGAGGTCAAGTTGTGCCCCCTTTTATGGGAACACAATACATTTGCAAGTGCACAAAGACCACCAGTGCCAATGTGGCTCTCCAGGACTTTTGGCATGCATCTCCCTACAACACCACCACGGAGAAAAAGCCATTTCCCCATGTGAGCTGTGTCACATTCCCATTCTGTCACATGTGGTTCTTTTCTTGGCACAATTAACACAGCACACTTTCATGCGTCACAGGCAATGTGCCTGAAACACAGACAATGTGCAAATGGGTCTGAGTGATCAATTGATGCTTTCATTCAGGCGAAAGAAGAAATAAAAAAGCAGATGTCCTGTGCAGAGATCTAAATCTAATAATTTCAGACCCCGCTATAATTATAAACTATTATCCAGCTTAATTCAGTTTTGGTTTTAGTGTTCAAAAGAGACCAAAGTCGTGGCAAACTGAAATGGGAATCACATGTCTTCCAAAAACCTGATGTCAGAAGCAAAAGCAAGCATGGTGGGAGAGCACATGAACACGTGAAGTTGCTTTATACTCAGACCACTGATCTACCAAGATCAGCGTAAGGGGACTGAACTCAGGGCCTTCACCAATAAGCTCCTCCCATCATCTCTAGGCGCATGCCTAAAGTGCACCAAAATGGAGGGCTGCACCCAACAATGGTTCAGAAAACAACAGTGAAAGTCCAGGGGTGCAGAGAAAGAAGACAAGTAACACAGGAAATGTGAAGCCTGTGAAGATTCACTGCACAGGGAATGGGAGCTCGAGCACAACCGCAAGCATTCCAAAGCTTCCCGGGATGCGGCCAGATGTGACAATAAGGAGAACTAGTATAGATGGACAAGCCCTGGGCAAAAGGTACAGAAACATCAACCTCTCTGCACACTAAATAGCTGATGGCAGAATGTCTCTCCTGTATAAGAGATTCTGCCATCATCTAATTCCAGCATACAACAGAGGGGCAAGTAAACACATCCACACAGGAAGAATATATTATTACATATTATAAACATTATATACAAAGGGTTAAAACGGATGGCGTTTTACTTACAAATTACATACCATCTGATTGCCTTACTCAACCGTCCCCATTGCCACAGGTGGGGAAGTACTTGGAGATCTATGGCTAAGCTACACGTTACACTCAGCGACTGTTGGGAGTTTTGCACAGGCGGGAGTCATCAGCCACTTTCCCATCATTACCTCTGCGTGAATGATATTACCAGACTTTCTAGCCATTTGTTTCTGAGGGTGCAGTTTTGCTTGTATTGTCCCAACTGGAAGAACACGATTCCTCAGATCCATTTTCTTCCATATTAAAGAGCTGATTTTTTTTTTTTAACAAGCCACAATTTCACCCTAGGAGAGGGTGAGATGGTGAAGTCCAAGGTCCACTGATTATTTACACAATGCAGAGTGAGGAACAATAAATAAGGAATAATGAGAAGGTGTGTCAGACTTGTTTCCTGGGGTGAAAACGAATGTGGTTGTTTGCCATGAAGTTCTGTAACGCCCTCTTTTCTCAGCATTAGTCAGCCGTCAGGGCTGTAGGGGAACTGTTCCTTAAGATGAGAGCGATGCGACACAGGATTAGATCTCCGTCAACGTGACTTTGAAGCCTTCTGTCACACTCTCTATGTTCAGGATGAAAGTGTCTTCATTGGAGTAATGTTCAATTATGTTATCATCCATGTTTACCAAGATCCTGGAATTGGAAAGGGATGCATTAGTAACACTTCCTATTTCAATGATCAGCTGGCAGGTTCAAACAGCCCTGACCTGGATGGCCCAGGCTAGCCTGATCTCATCGAAACACAGAAACAAATCAGGGTCAGCCCTGGTTAGTGTTTGGATGGGAGCCCACCAAGAGTCACAATATAGAGACAGGCCATGGCGAACTACCTCTGAATGTCTCTTGCCCTGAAAACCCTATGGGGTTGCCATAAATTGTCTACGGCCTGACAGCACTTTCCACAACCAAGTTCAAACAGACAGTCAAAGTTGTGAATCCCCAATGGGACAAGGTTGCAAATCCCCACGGATATCATGGATACGTTTTTTTGTGTGTGAATATTTGAACACAGTGCAACTTGCCACCCCCTGGAATTTCATCTTCCAGTGTGACTATGAGTTATACAGAACGCTCATTGTGGGAATATCATGTTGCAGACCCGTAGCCACAGTGGGGCATCTCAGGGCCATGCCCCCTTCATTACCAGCCACGCCCCACAAGACTCTTTCCTCAAACTTTGGATTTTTTAAACTTTAAATTTAGTTGCAGTCTTGCGGCGGGGTGGGGGTGGGGGGGAGAACAAGCGGCAGGGCAAACAAACAAGCACACCAGAAGTGTCTCCCCACCCCGGTTGTTGCATTTCTTCAACCAAGTCTGCCCCCCAAAAAAAGATGTGGGATGCTACCCAAATAATTTAATTAACTGCCCCCTTAAAAATGTAACCCCCCCCCCCCCCGAAAAAATCCTGACTACGGGCCTGTCATGTTGTGAGTTTCCTTTGCTCCGCTTCAAGCCATTGGCTGCCCATAGTGAGAAAAGTCACGGCATGGCATCCTTACGGGAACTTAATATGAGGCCCAGTGGGGGAGGAGGGGGTGAAATAGGAGATGGCAAGCTGAGGTCCCACTCCTTTGAGGTACATCACAGCATTCAGTAATCCAGATTCACTGTCAGTTCCCCAGGAAGGTCCATGCTAGCACAGCCTAGTTAAGTGTGATCCAACTCTTACCCCTTTTTACTCTTCTTGTAAAGCTTTGTGATCTTCTCAGCTGGAAGGCCGTACTTCTCAGAAATCTGAAATGTTTTTTTAAAAGCAAAAATTTGAAGGTTTTAGGAAAAAGAAGAAAGATGTCCAATGCAGTATTACCACATTCAATTAACAAGAGTGGCTAACATAAGACTAAAAAGCACAGACGCTCAACAGGATTTTCAAGGCAGCGTGCCAAAGCATGAAGAATTATGAGATTCCATCTCCTCACAACCATCACGGGTTGTCTGTTGCCAGGACAACCGTAACTAGCCAAACACTTGTAAGCCAAACTGGTCTGTTCAAACAGATAGCTGAGGTTGCGCATCCACAGGGCCATCATGGATGAGTTTTTGTGCGTGAACGCTTGGACACAGCATTTGCCCCCCCTGGGTCCTTTGTGCCTCTTGTGTCAACCCAGCTTTGCTGACATCAGAGGGGAAAGGGGGTGATTTGCCCCTTTCCCTCTCCCCTCTGCAGCCTCCCAATCCTCATGGGTCTGCAACCCAGGGCCTGGAGTTGGAAAAGACAGATGAGGGGAGATAATGTGGGAAAGATCTACGGGCCTTGCATCTGTGGATTGTTGGATCCACCCCTTTTCACACAAACTGAAATGCACCTGTGTCTCTCAGAGCACTTTATATAGCATGCATTGTCCATGTACAATGAGTTACTGGTGGCCCGCTTTGTGAAACTTTATAACATTCTTTCAGTACTTTGCAACAATTTGGAATGAATGTAAAAGCTGACTGAAGAAGTCAGATATTCTGAATTTGATGTTTTACAATATTATGATATTCTGGAAGAATATATCCGAAACGCAGATAATAATCCAGAGACTTCATTGAATGAATGAAAACTAGACAATCAATTTTGTATTATGCACAGTATCTTTATTTGCTTAATGAATTGTTTCTGGATTATATTAGTGGTGTTGTACACAGTTGTTTTCTGTCTTGATTCCATTTGCTGTCTGTGTGATCTCCCTGCTGTATTGCATACAATAGGTCATTAATGTGTCAGTTTCAGAACTTTGCTGCATTTCGTTTGAAAATCAGTGCTTTCTTCCTCCTTTTATTAAAGTAAGATATAAGAAACTTTCCAAAGGTGGACAGAATATGTCAGAAGAGGATTATTTGTCACAGATCGTCCTTGGCAAAAGGATATGGAAATATATCAAAGCAAATATCTCTTTCCTTTACAGGTCAGAATCAAGTTACAACACAATTGAATTACAGACCTGGAAAGGATTAAAGGATCACGTACACAGAAAAATGAGTCAATAGTGAAGCAAGGTATTTTCAAACTTATTTTTAGCTGTGGCTTCACAAAACAAGGTCTTTGTGACTACAAAATGTTCCCCTTTTCTCCCTACAAGGTAATGGAATGGTGGGTGAGATGACACTCCAATTCAGAATGTATTTATTTATGATCTTATTATGATCTAATTATTTATGTGTACCACATTCATGTATTGTGGGGAAATCCTTTTGGATGTATGTATTCCATATTTTTATGTATGACGATCCCAGCCTTGCAAATAAATTAAAGTTATTAGCCTATTAAAAATTATGTAGCTGCCATACCAATACGTACGGAATACATACCTCTAAGCCTCAGATTTTTAAAGAGTCTAATATTCCCCAAGTCTCAGCTCATAAATAAGTTGAAAACTCCATTTGTTCTGAGATACAAGGGGGAGGAGAAGGATAAAGATGACGCAGAAAGGATTTGAGAGTGACCTGGAAAAATACTTGGCTTTAAAAAAAAAAAATTACTTTGATGCAACTTGACAGGAGCACAGAAGAGCATATAGAAAAACAAGGTTACTGTTTGTCTATGGATTTCATTTATACTCCATCTTTCTCCCCAGTGAGGACACAAAGCTGCTTACATCATTCTCCTCCCCTCCATTTTATTGTCACAACCTTGAGGGGTAGTTTGGGATAAGTGATTGGCCTGAAGTCAGTCGGCAGAGGGGGTATTCAAACCTGGGTCCAAGCCTTACATTGTGTCATGAGCAATGACAATGGCGCTGAGTCCCCGCCCGAGTTGGCATCGCAGCCAGAGGTATTGCCAGAACCAGAAGCCAGCCCCTCTGACTCCTCACAAGTCAGTAGCTTGCCAGCACCTGAGCCTGAAAACCCCCCGCACCTGGTCCTGCAGCAGCCGAGGAGGCACAGGTGCAATTGGGGGAGCCCGCCTGACTCACCTCCGCGGGTGGTTCAGCTAAGGGAGAGGCTCCGCAGAGACTTCACCACCCGCCGTCGAGACGCACCCTGGCAGGGAAGGTGTGTGCCGAGTCCTGAGTATTAGCAGGAGCGCCACCGCCACAGGAAGCCCAGCTAGAGGCCTATATAACTCCCACTCAGCTTTGGGCTCTCGTGGAAGCAACGAGTCGTATCTGTGCATGCCTTGCATCCACCTTCGGCTCCTGTCCTCGTACCCCCCACTCTGGTTCGGATTCCTGGCTCCCTGACCCCTGCTTTGAACGACCCCTCTTTCGGACTCACAATTTGGCTCTCGCTCTGACTCTCTTGGCAACGACCTCGGACCGGACTTGACTTCTGCCGCTCATCCCAAGCCCAGTCCATGACACACTGGCACACTGTTTCATAGGAACCTTTCACTGCTCATTTCCCTAATGGAAAACTTTTTGCTCAAACTGTCACATTTTTTTTCCAGAAAAGCTGTGCAGTCCTTTGAGGTGAACATCCATACCTCTACTGTTCCAAAGGCCTTTAATATGATCCAAGGTTTGTTGTCATTCCAGCTAGAATGTGTTTTACTGCCTAAGAACATGTGAAATAATAGGTGTTTTCTGAGCATTAGGGAAAAAGTGCCTGGTTCACCCACCAAGTAAATCTTTTATGTTTTATGGCCTCAATATATATACTCAATAGAAAAACAATTTCCAGGCTGTTTACTCCTAAAGCATCTGTAGCAAATGCAAACAGCTAGCTAGAGTTTAGTTCACACCACTCAGCCCCAGGACAAGGAAAAAGGAAAAATAGGAGACAATAAATGCTCCTCCCAAAGACTCACAGAAGACTGACAACACAACATCTCTGACATTTTAATTTACTGAATCATGAATGGTACAATGTCCCACCCCTTGGCAAAACAAAGTAGGAGACCTCTGATATGAAAGCATTGGCTCGGTAATTAATATGCACAATGGAATTCTTTATTTTTAAACGGGGAATGTGTGGATCAGGTGCTCTGAGTCACCGCACAGTCGTTTGGGGAAATTTGCAATTGCTAATGGTCTAGATGATACATTAAAGAAAAGACTGAATTATCAAATTTTCTGAATTTTCTAATTGGTATGTCTTGCAAAATGTGGGTACAAAATTTCAGCTACCTAAAAGATAATGTCTAAGTATATTAACCATTCTGAGACACCCTCTAGTAAGTACTCAGTAGTTTATGTATTATGCCGTTGAAGTTTATGTATTAATACTAATGGAATTAACAGTTGTTTTTTATTGTTTGCATAGTTCTTAAATTAAGTTTTAAAAGCAAGAACATAAAGAACCCAGTCTTGGAATGTTTCATGTTCCTTGGACAAATGTCTCTGCCTTTCGGAGGAAGACTTCAGAATTGGAATTATAAAGAAATCTGATTGCATTTTTCAGTTTAGAAGAAGAAGAAGAAATTGGATTTATACCCCGCCCTTCACTTGGAGTCTCAGAGCAGCTTACAAACTCCTTTCCCTTCCCCTCCCCACAACAGACACCCTGTGAGGTGGGTGGGGCTGAAAGAACTCTGACACAAACTGCTCTTTTTCAAGGACAGCTGTGCCAGAGCTTGTGACTGACCCAAGGTCACATCAGCAGGTGCAAGTGGAAGAGTGGGGACTCAAACCCGGTTCTCCCAGATTAGAGTCCGCACACTTAACCACTACACCAAACTGGCTCTCTACTAATAACGTCTCTTGCCTTGAAAACCCTATGGGGTTGCCATAAGTCAGCTATGACTTGACAACAAAAGAACAACAATAATGGTTAGAGGAGATCCTGTTCTACAAAAATTAAATTGTTCTTTCTTGAGCTGTACGGTAGGGATGAGATGTTTAGTACTCAGGCCCTCAGAGTGCTTTTTGAATCGTTCATGCACGCAATCCTTCTAAACAGAGAACTTAGTTGCCTATGAAACCTTGTGGCACAACAAACAATTATTCTCTAAGGTGCCTTTTTGTCTCCACAAAAAGGAAGATAAACTTACTGTTCTTTAGGGAAGTGATTATAAAAGGGAGACAGATCTTTAAATATGAAAAAAACATAATCAAGTGTAACGGAAAATTTGAGGGAGGCCACAGATCAGAATGTGATAAACAAGCAAAAATGTGCAACTTGTAAACACTGAAATTTCCTTTTAGTATGTATGTACTTCTAAGTTTGAAAACAGTAGTGCTAAGTTTAAAAGGTATAGTACTGCCAAGCTGAAGTGTATAATAAGCAGAGTTACAGCCATCTAAGCTTGCTGACTTCAGTGGACTTAGAAGGCTGTAATGATGGCAGTGCAATTGTGCTACAAAGCCAAAGCCATAGTCCACAGGCAAAGGATGAGACAACCTTGCTGAAACTAAGAAGGTTTGAGTGCCTGCATGGGAGACTCCTTGGGAACCTCCATTCCATAATAGGGGAAAGGTGGGCAATAAATGAAATAAATAACAAAACAAATCGAATGTCTATGAGTAGTAACACGAATATTGTTCTAAAATTTACTGTTGACGTGAATACTTTTTTATTTTTCAGGTTTTTCTCATATAACAGTGTGTTCATTAAACTTCGTTATATTCCAACACAGTCCAACATCACACCTTAAATCAGTCACACCACAGTGAGTTATGTTATACAAATTTAGCATCCAAGAAATAAAGTATAATGTATTGTCGGGTTTCGTTCTGAACTTACGAACACAGGGAATCCTTCTTACCAATGCACACTTCCCTGGTTCCTCCAGAGGAAGCCACTGTGATTAAACTAGTGTAAAACTGGTATAAATGAGTAGCATAAATGTGCCTGCCTTCTGTAAATTGCAT